CCAGGTCAGCGGTAAGTCCTACAGCTGTCACTCCAGGCAAGTGCTGCCCCATCTAAACCCTGACTAAGGCCCAGCCCCAGCATCCTGAGGCTGCATGCATTTTTCTGGGGAGGAAGCTGAGGATAAGTCTTTCTCCCCAGGAAAATGGGGATGCCATGTTCACTCAGCAAATATGAATAGCACTGGGCCCTGGGACATGGAGAAATCAGGCACATCCCAGTCCCCAGTAAGCTGAAGTCTAATGCTGAGGCCCACTATGAAACAAATAATTGAGTGGAGTAGCCTAGTAAGATGGAGGACCCCAGAGGAGGCTCCTGATCCTGCCTGGCTAGGGGGCTGGAGCCGCTGGGGGTCCTTGGCATTAGTGCAGGCCCTATCTGAGCTTTTTGGAAGGTGTCAGTCTGCCCTTGAATGTCTTTTCCTTTGTCCAGAGCACCAAGGAGATAACTGAGCATAGAGGTGATCCTTAGGAAGTGCTTGTCATTCTGAGTTGAACAACGACAGAGGGTGGGAAAGGTATATACTGAGCATAAGGTAAAGCCTGGATGATGAGGTGAGAGGGGCTTGAAAACATCTTGTCTGAAGAAGGAGATACTTGGGGCCACCAGAGGTGCCTGCACACAGATGGAAGATGTGGCAAAGCAGGTGCAGGTTTGATGTGGCTGGTCCTGGAGCCTGAACCTGAGCCAGTGTTGGAAGTGCCAGGGTGCTAGAGCTTTGCTGACCAACTGTCCCAGTTTGCCGGGGCCTGTACTGATTTGGGTATGAAAGTTCTGTGGCCCTGGAAACTCCTGGCAAACCTGGAAAATTGGTCAATGTAATGTAGGTTTGGTCTATGGAGGAGCTCAGCAACCTCAGAGTGCTTAGGGCTTCTGCCTAGCCTGATTTATTCATTTATTTTTTTGCTGAGACATTTTGATTGGGTTATTTTGAGGCAACAAAACACAAGTCACTTTTGTAAAACCATTAAGCCATTGTTTTATGTTGTAATGTTCTGTGTTATATATTGCATGTATCAGTGACATTTTATTTTTATCCTTAACCCTCCGTCTGAATTACTTGGGATTTCATCTTATTGTGTCATTAATTTCAATATTGTTTGTTTGGTTATTATTTGTTTTTGGGTATGTGTTGCTTTTAAAATCAGAAAAAAAAATTATTTGTTAAAAGTCTACTGGAACTGATTTAACCTCTGTGTACACACCAGTCTGCTTCCCCAAATCCATCATTATGAAGAGGTTTTAGGATTTGACACAGTTCATTCGAGTTCCTGAGGACTCAGAGCATGGTTAGAAATCCCAGCTGAATTTCCTCTGCAGCTGGAAGCCAAGAATAAGATATCATATAGGGATCCAATTATCTTTGCACATAGCACCTCTAAGGTGGATCTCAGAGATGGTGAGATACAGACCTGTCAGAATATATGTGGTTTTTTATTTTTTATTTTTATTTTATTTTTTAAAATTTTTTATTGCATTTTAGGTTTGGGGTACATGTGCAGAACATGCAAGACAGTTGCATAGGTACACACATGGCAGTGGGTTTTGCTTCCTTTCTCCCCTTCACCCACATTTGGCATTTCTCCCCAGGCTATCCCTCCCCAGCTCCCCCTCCCGCTGACCCTCCCCCTTTTCCCCCAATAGACCCCAGTGTTTAGTACTCCCTTCCCTGTGTCCATGTGTTCTCATTTTGCATCACCCGCCTATGAGTGAGAATATGCGGTATTTCATTTTCTGTTCTTGTGTCAGTTTGCTGAGAATTATGTTCTCCAGATTCATCCATGTCCCTACAAACGACACAAACTCATCATTTCTGATTGCTGCATAATATTTCATGGTGTATATGCGCCACATTTTCCCAATCCAGTCTATCATCAATGGGCATTTGGGTTGATTACAGGTCTTTGCTATTGTAAACAGTGCTGCAATGAACATTCGTGTGCATGTGTCCTTATAGTAGAACGATATATAGTCCTTTGGATATATACCCAGTAATGGGATTGCTGGGTCAAATGGAATTTCTATTTCTAAGGCCTTGAGGAATCGCCACACTGTCTTCCACAATGGTTGAACTAGTTTACACTCCCACCAACAGTGTAAAAGTGTTCCTTTTTCTCCAAATCCTCTCCAACATCTATTGTCTCCAGATTTTTTAATGATCGCCATTCTAACTGGTGTGAGATGGTATCTCAATGTGGTTTTGATTTGCATCTCTCTGATGAACAGTGACGATGAGCATTTTTTCATATGTTTGTTGGCCTCATATATGTCTTCTTTCGTAAAGTGTCTTTTCATATCCTTTGCCCACTTTTGAATGGGCTTGTTTGTTTTTTTCCTGTAAATCTGTTTGAGTTCTTTGTAAATTCTGGATATCAGCCCTTTGTCAGATGGGTAAACTGCAAAAATTTTTTCCCATTCTGTTGGTTGCCGATTCACTCTAGTGACTGTTTCTTTTGCCATGCAGAAGCTGTGGAGTTTGATTAGGTCCCATTTGTCTATTTTGGCTTTTGTTGCCAATGCTTTTGGTGTTTTGTTCATGAAGTTCTTGCCTACTCCTATGTCCTGGATGGTTTTGCCTAGATTTCCTTCTAGGGTTTTTATGGTGCCAGGTCTTATGTTTAAGTCTTTAATCCATCTGGAGTTAATTTTGGTGTAAGGTGTCAGGAAGGGGTCCAGTTTCTGCTTTCTGCACATGGCTAGCCAGTTTTCCCAACACGATTTATTAAACAGGGAATCCTTTTCCCATTGCTTGTTTTTGTCAGGTTTATCAAAGATTGTATGGTTGTAGATATGTTGTGTTGCCTCCGATGCCTCCGTTTTGTTCCATTGGTCTATGTCTCTGTTTTGGTACCAGTACCATGCTGTTTTGATTACTGTAGCCTTGTAGTATAGTTTGAAATCCGGTAGTGTGATGCCCCCCCGCTGTGTTCTTTTTGCTTAGGATTGACTTGGCTATGTGGGCTCTCTTTTGGTTCCATATGAAGTTCATGGTGGTTTTTTCCAGTTCTGTGAAGAAAGTCAATGGTAGCTTGATGGGGATAGCATTGAATCTGTAAATTACTTTGGGCAGTATAGCCATTTTCATAATATTAATTCTTCCTAACCATGAACATGGAATGTTTCTCCATCTGTTTGTGTCCTCTCTTATTTCGTTGAGCAGTGTTTTGTAATTTTCCTTGAAGAGGTCCCTTACGTTCCTTGTGAGTTGTATTCCTAGGTATTATATTCTCTTTGTAGCAATTATGAATGGCAGTTCGTTCTTGATTTGGCTCTCCTTAAGTCTGTTATTGGTGTAGAGGAATGCTGGTGATTTTTGCACATTGATTTTATATCCTGAGACTTTGCTGAAGTTGCTTATCAGTTTCAGGAGTTTTTGGGCTGAGGCGATGGGGTCTTCTAGGTATACTATCATGTCGTCTGCAAATAGAGACAATTTGGCTTCCTCCTTTCCTATTTGAATACCCTTTATTTCTTTTTCTTGCCTGATTGCTCTGGCTAGAACTTCCAGAACTATATTGAATAGGAGTGGTGAGAGAGGGCATCCTTGTCTAGTGCCAGATTTCAAAGGGAATGCTTCCAGTTTTTGCCCATTCAGTATGATATTGGCTGTTGGTTTGTCGTAAATAGCTTTTATTACCTTGAGATACGTTCCATCGATACCGAGTTTATTGAGGGTTTTTAGCATAAAGGGCTGTTGAATTTTGTCGAATGCCTTCTCTGCATCAGTTGAGGTAATCATGTGGTTTTTGTTTTTGGTTCTGTTTATGTGGTGAATTATGTTGATAGACTTGCGTATGTTGAACCAGCCTTGAATCCCCGGGATGAATCCTACTTGATCATGATGGATAAGTTTTTTGATTTGCTGTTGCAATCGGCTTGCCAATATTTTATTGAAGATTTTTGCATCTATGTTCATCATGGATATTGGCCTGAAGTTTTCTTTTCTTGTTGGGTCTCTGCCGGGTTTTGGTATCAGGATGATATTGATCTCATAAAATGATTTGGGAAGGATTCCCTCTTTTTGGATTATTTGGAATAGTTTCAGAAAGAATGGTACCAGCTCCTCTTTGTGTGTCTGGTAGAATTCGGCTGTGAACCCATCTGGACCTGGGCTTTTTTTTGTGTGGTGGGCTCTTAATTGCTGCCTCAACTTTTGACCTTGTTATTGGTCTATTCATAGTTTCAGCTTCCTCCTGGTTTAGGCTTGGGAGGACATAGGAGTCCACGAATTTATCCATTTCTTCCAGGTTTACTAGTTTATGTGCATAGAGTTGTTTGTAATATTCTCTGATGATGGTTTGAATTTCTGTGGAATCTGTGGTGATTTCCCCTTTATCATTTTTTATTGCATCTATTTGGTTGTTCTCTCTTTTCTTTTTTATCAGTCTGGCTAGTGGTCTGTCTATTTTGTTGATCTTTTCAAAAAACCAGCTCTTGGATTTATTGATTTTTTGAAGGGTTTTTCGTGTCTCTATCTTCTTCAGTTCAGCTCTGATCTTAGCTATTTCTTGTCTTCTGCTGGGATTTGAGTTTTTTTGATCTTGCTCCTCTAGCTCTTTCAATTTTGACGATAGGGTGTCAATTTTGGATCTCTCCATTCTCCCCATATGGGCACTTATTGCTATATATTTTCCTCTAGAGACTGCTTCAAATGTGTCCCAGAGATTCTGGCATGTTGTGTCTTCGTTCTCATTGGTTTTGAAGAACTTTTTTATTTCTGCCTTCATTTCATTGTTTATCCAGTCAACATTCAAGAGTGAGTGGCAGTTTTCATGAAGCTCTGCGGTTCTGGGTTGGTTTCTGAATTCTGAGTTCTAACTTGATTGCACTATGGTCTGAGAGACTGTTTGTTATGATTTCAGTTGTTTTGCATTTGCTGAGGAGTGCTTTACTTCCAATTATGTGGTCAATTTTAGAGTAGGTGTGATGTGGTGCTGAAAAGAATGTATATTCTGTGGATTTGGGGTGGAGAGTTCTGTAAATGTCTATCAGGTTTGCTTGCTCCATGTCTGAGTTCAAGCCCTGGATATCCTTGTTGATTTTCTGTCTGGTTGATATGTCTAATATTGACAGTGGAGTGTTAAAGTCTCCCACTATTATTGTGTGGGAGTCTAAGTCTCTTTGTAAGTCATTAAGAACTTGCTTTATGTATCTGGGTGCTCCTGTATTGGGTCCATATATATTTAGGATCGTTAGCTCTTCTTGTTGTATCAATCCTTTTACCATTATGTAATGTCCTTCTTTGTCTCTTTTGATCTTTGTTGCTTTAAAGTCTATTTTATCAGAGACGAGAATTGCAACTCCTGCATTTTTTTGCTCTCCATTTGCTTGGTAAATCTTCCTCCATCCCTTTATTTTGAGCCTTTGTGTATCCTTGCATGTGAGATGGGTTTCCTGGATACAGCACACTGATGGGTTTTGGATTTTTATCCAATTTGCCAGTCTGTGTCTTTTGATTGGTGCATTTAGTCCATTTACGTTTAGGGTTAATATTGTTATGTGTGAATTTGCTACTGCCATTTTGATGCTAGCTGGCTGTTTTGCCCATTAGTTGTTGTAGATTCTTCATTATGTTGATGCTCTTTAGCATTTAGTGTGATTTTGGAATGGCTGGTACTGGTTGTTCCTTTCTATGTGTAGCGCCTCTTTCAGGAGCTCTTGTAAAGCAGGCCTGGTGGTGACAAAATCTCTGAGTACTTGCTTGTTCGCAAAGGATTTTATTTTTCTTTCACTTCTGAAGCTCAGTTTGGCTGGATATGCAATTCTGGGTTGAAAGTTCTTTTCTTTAAGGATGTTGAATATTGGCCCCCCACTGTCTTCTGGCTTGTAGTGTTTCTGCCGAGAGATCTGCTGTGAGTCTGATGGGCTTCCCTTTGTGGGTGACCCGACCTTTCTCTCTGGCTGCCCTTAGTATTTTCTCCTTTATTTCAACCTTGTTGAATCTGACGATTATGTGCCTTGGGATTGCTCTTCTTGCAGAATATCTTTGTGGTGTTCTCTGTATTTTCTGCATTTGAGTGTTGGCCTGCCTTGCTAGGTGGGGGAAATTTTCCTGGATAATGTTCTGAAGAGTATTTTCCAGCTGGAATTCATTCTGTTCATCACATGCTGGTACACCTATGAAACGTAGGTTAGGTCTCTTCACATAGTCCCAAATTTCTTGGAGACTTTGTTCATTCCTTTTTGTGCTTTTTTTCTCTGATCTTGGTTTCTTGTTCTATTTCATTGAGTTGATCTTCGACTTCTGATATTCTTTCTTCTGCTTGGTCAGTTTGGCTGTTGAAACTTGTGCATGCTTCGCAAAGTTCTCGTATTGTGTTTTTCAGCTCCTTTAATTTATTCATATTCCTCTCTAAGGTATCCATTCTTGTTATCATTTCCTCAAATCTTTTATCAAATCTCTTTTCAAGGTTCTTAGTTTCTTTGCATTGATTTAAAACATGTTCTTTTAGCTCACAAAAGTTTCTCATTATCCACCTTCTGAAGTCTAATTCCGTCATTTCGTCAGTCATTCTCCATCCAGCTTTGTTCCCTTGCTGGTGAGGAGTTTTGGTCCTTTCCAGGAGGTGAGGTGTTCTGGTTTCGGGTGTTTTCCTCCTTTTTGCGCTGGTTTCTTCCCATCTTTTTGGATTTATCCACCTGTCGTCTGTGTAGTTGCTGACTTTTCTATTGGGTCTCTGAGTGAACACCCAGATTGTTGATGATGAAGTATTTCTGTTACTTGGTTTTCCTTCTACCAGTCTAGCCCCTCCACTGTACAACTGCTGGGGTCCACTCCAGGCCCTGTTTGTCTGGGGTGCACCTATAGCAGCTGCGTAACAGTGAGGGATGCTACCAGTTTCTTTTTCTGCTATATTTGTCCCAGAATGATGCCTGCCAAATGTCAGTCTTCTGGATATAGAGGGGTCAGGGAGCTGCTTGAGGAGACAGTCTGTACTTTATAGGAGCTCAAGTGCTGAGCTGTGAGCTCTGTTGTTCAATCAGGCTATTAGGCTGCTACGTTTAATTCTGCTGCAACAGAACTCATAAAACTTTTTTTCTCACATGCTCTGTCTCAGGGGAGTTGGGGCTTTCTTTGTGAGTGTTTGTTGTGCTGTCCTGCCCAGCTAGGAGGCAGTCTAGTCACTATTTGCCTGACGAGGCTCCGCCCTGCTGGTGTGAGGTTCGCCCTGTTGCTGCAGGCTCTGCCCTTCTGCTGCGGTCTCTGCCCTGCTGCCATGGGCTACGTCCTGCAGAGTCTCTCTGTTGTAGTGGGTTGCCTCGGCAATGGCAGGCTGTGTCAGCAATGGGCGTGTACCTCAGTAGGGGCAGATTGCCTCGGTAATGGCGGATGACCCTTTCCCACGGAGCTGCACCATACTGGGTTCAGCTGTGCCCTAAGGGAACCTTTCCACCGGGAGCGTTTGGAATCTCCGTTTTGTTTGTCCCTCTGCGCTCAAAACGCTGTTTTCCTGGAATCTCCTGGGCTGGCTCTCTGTCCAAGTCCCATTCGGTCTCAAGTTCAGCCCTCTCAAGTCTCAGATTGCCGGTTCAACAGGGCACCCAGACCAGTGCGCTTTGTGCAGAGCACTGTGTAGCGCCACTGCGCTACAGCGCCGGCCGCCGGCCGCACCATCTGCCGGCTGCACCAGCCAAAACCTCTGCCTGGCGTCCCACATCTCTTTTATACCTGGGGATTTCCCCGTTCTGTGGGCAACAAAGATCCGTGTGGAAATGCGGCCCTGACTCACCCTCTCCGCGCATTCACCAGGAGCTTCAATCCTGGGTTGTTCTCACTGTGCCATCTTGAGTCCTCTTATATGTGGTTTTTTAAAAGATGGGGCCTGCCCCAGCCTCATGAAAGCCTAATGGCCTTTCATGAGGCAGGGAGGTGGGGTCAGCTTTGGTCACATGACTGCCTGGCTTCAATGTTGAGCTATACTTCTTACTTGCTTTGTGGTCTGTGCAAGTTTCTGAACTCTGTTATCTGCTCCTCATTCTCCTCATGTAGAAAATGGGATAATGATAGTACCTGCTTCATAGTGTTAATGTGAGGATTAAATAAATTTATATATGCAAAGTGTTTGTCACACACTGAAAGCTGCATATGCAGAACCATTACTTATTGAATGCCTGCTGCTGTGTGGTAGAGCTCTTCACATAGGTGATCTGGGGAAATTCTTCCAGAAATCCTTCTCCTGACCCCTTACCCTCAGCAAGTAACCTGACTGAGAAAAAGAAATCACAGACAGACACTCTCAACAGCCTAGTATTTTAAGCCAGGGAAAAGTAAAACTATCCTGGTTCAAGTGAAGTCTGAGTTTTCCCTGCCCAGACAGTAGATTGGGAACTGTGTAGCCAGGTGGGTAGCAGCAGCTCCGGCCATAGGGCTTTAGGATCCCTCCAAAGACCCTTTGTAGTCCTGGTATGGTCAGATCTAAACCTGTTCGGGGGTTGGGGAAGTCATCATCAGGATGTTTAAGAGAGTGGTTAGGACTGCAAATGGCTCCAACTTGGTTCTTGGTTCTGCTACAGAGTAGCTATAACTTTGAGCTTCAGTTTCTTCATGTATGAGATGAGGATAATTTATACATGCATCGTTGGGCTGTTAGGAGCATGTTATGTATGAAGCATCTGCCTGGAGCATAGGACCTGCTTAATCAACACTGATTTCTCCTGCTTTTCAGGAGGAATAGGTGCTCTGAGTAGATCATGAGGGGCAAAGATCAGATCCTGGACCATTTTAGGCCACTGAGAACCACTGACCTATCTCTCCTTCTCTCTCTCCCACTTCCAACCTCTTTAGAAGTTTTAAGTTTATAGGAAATTAGATTACATTAAAATGATTGAGGAATCAAATTATTAGGAAGCAAGGCATGATTTCTAACTGATGTTGCACAGCAAATATGTTGGAAGGAAAACACCAGACTGACTTAAGATCAGGAGTTATGACTGGCCATAAAAGCTGCAGCTTGTGAAATGTTTTTTTTTTTTTTTTTACAATGTCTTCATCCTTGCAGTTCTGATAGGGCAGGGTGAGCAACAGAAAGAGAGTGTGGTATTTCCTTTAATATGTTCACAGCCTGACATTGCCAGGCCTCGCCAGAACACTGAGGGAATAGAATCCCTGGACCTAGCAACCTGTTAATTGTGTATGTTCTGGGGGCATGAGCATGTTCCACATTCACAGAGAAGGCACATGTGTATCTACAGGATGTCAGAAGTGTTACTTTGCCTACTATGCAATCTAAAGCAGCATAATAGGCAGATAGTAGCAGCCACTTCTTTCCTCCTGTTCCAAGCTGCAGAGGCCTCTCTCATGGGGAATAATACCATGGTTATTGTCTCCAGATAAATAATTAATGCTGGATAATTGACTTCTTTCTGTTGTATTCCACTGAAACTGAATTTAATTTTGCAGTGCTATTGTTCACCTCAGTACAAAAATAAATAAATAAACAAGTATTACCAAGTTGCATGGAAGCATCCAGCAGCCTGGGTAAATCATATGCATGAGGACATTGGTATTTGAGACCCTTGTGAGTAAATAGCAGCATGAAGGGCTGTTCTAGGTACAGATTCCTAGGAGAGAGTAGAAGTCAGAGAGTCACAGTCCCTGGGCCAGGGGTTGGTTCCTTTGCTGAACTGGCAGGAGTGGTGGGAAGTGGTCTGACAGGATGTGGTGGTTCTCAACTCTGTATCTGAGTCTCCTGGGATGCTTTCATATTTAAAAACAAGAAAATAAGCAAAAGAACAAAACTCTACTCTTGGAATCTCTTTTGTGGGCCTAAGTGTTTGAAAGCATGTAGACCTTGGAATCAGACTTGGGTTCAAATCCCAGTTCACTTCCTACCAGTTCTGTGATCTTGAGTGGCTGCTTAAGCTGTCTATGCATGTGTTTTTCCTTCAGCATAGTGGCAATGACAGTTGCATTAAAAGGTAGTAAAGTGCTTGGATCCAGGAAGGAAAGCCTCTATAGAGCCTCAGGATGCCTTGCAGTATATAAGCCTCACTTTCCCAGGTCATATAAATCAGTGGTCTGCACCCCTGGTCCTCAGCCTGTTAGGAACTGGGCTGTACAGCAGGAAGTGAGTGGCCAGCAAGAAAAAGCATTACTTCCTGAGCTCCACCTCCTGTTAGATCAGAGAAATCATTAGATCATTAGATTCTCATAGGAGAGCGAACCCTACTATGAACTGCTGGCGTGAGGGATTTATGATGCATGTTCCTTACGAGAATGTAATACCCATTCCCCACTGCCCCACTGAATGGAAAAATTGTCTTTCACTAAACCAGTCCCTGGTGCCAAAAATCCCTGGTGCCAAAAAGGTTGGGGACTGCTGGTATAAATAACAGTAATATTTATACTCCCTCTCCCCACAAGTAGTGAAAATAATGCAATCTCAGGCCTGAGTACTTCCCTGCGGGGCTGGGGGCGGGGCAAGATTTATTGATGGAAGTGAAGGAGGCCAGAGATGAGCTTCCTGGATAGCAGGAGACTGTGGCTGCTGTGTCCCTAGCTGGTCTTCATTTGCTCCATGGTCTCTGGGCTCCTATCTTTCCATCTGGGATGTTGATCTTCTTGCTGTTTCTGGGCATGGTGGTGGGGCTGCTGGAACCTAGCCATAGGGTCAGCATGTTGGCTCTGGGCTTCACACTCCCAGGGTTGTGCCCTCTGCCATCACAGTCTGGCCCTCATGTTCTGCCAGGATCCAGATGACACAACCCTTTGGTATAACTGTCTTTATGGGAAGGCTCCTGGCAGGCAAGCTGGAGGCCAGGGTCCACACAGTGCTGGGTCCAGATGTCCCCTTCCTTCTATAACTTATCTAGCTCAGAAATCAATCTATGGCATTTAGAATTTTTCACTCTCAGTCCTTGCCAGTGAAGAGTCAGGGTGGCAATATTGATTAACAGGCTGGCCTTTGCAAACCCTCATAACAAAGTTGGCTTATGGTTTCAAGCAGTTGTTATGGGCTGGGTACTTCACATAGCTACTCATTTAGTCTTCACTATGACCCATGTCTATCATTATTATTGTGTACATTTTGTAAACGATAGGTTGAGTTCTCTGGGAAACAGCTTTGAGGTGGAGTTTAGAGTTCAGAGTGGTTTTTAGGAGACATCTTTGGGACCAATGCCCATGGAAGGGAAAGGAAGGAAGCAGGACTGGGCAGAGGGCAAGGTTCAGCCACAAAACTTGGCTCAATGATGTCAACTGATCTCTCAGGGGAGTTTTGGAATCAGAGTTGTTGTCCATTGGCCAAAATTTCCAGGGCCTTTATGTCCCACCTTAATCTGTCATTGGAGTGTGTTTAAAAAATATTTTAAACTGGGAAGTCATTAGGCTGGGGCTGCTTCAACACTTTAGGTTTCTACATAGCAAACTGAAGCCCAACATTAACAGTAGAATGAAACTACAAACTTTACTGATCAGAGATCAACTAACTTCTAACTAGGAACTTTCTCCTTTAATCATTAGACATGTTTTCTTTGTTTTCCTTTTGTGTTCAGCCCATAAAAGTTTGCTGCCCATGCTGCTTCAGAGGAGCTCTCCAACTTCTTCTGGTTCTGAGTGCTGCCTGATTCATGAATTGTTTTTTGCTGAAATAGACTCTGTTAAATTTATTTTGTCTAAAACTTTTAGACATCCTTTAGAAGGATGTGATCTTAGGTGAGATGGCTCTAAGAACATCTGGAGGGCCTGAAAGCTGAAGGCAGTTGGCTAATGATACTCCCAGCAGCTAGGGCAATACCTTCTGCCAAAAAGAGGAATCTGGGAAGCACATCACAATGTCTATCCCATGAGGGAACTGAGCCTTGAGGAGGTGAAGTTACTTGCTCAAGAACAGAACCGACAGGTAAAGAGCTAGCATATGTGTTTCTATATGTTGCTTAAACCTCAGTGCTAAGTAGTACTCTCACAAGTCTCTGTCTTTTCCATAAACAGATCATTTACTCATTTATGCAGGTAGCTGTTTATTCATTAGCTTTCAACAAAGTTCTTCTATAAATATTTACGGAGCACAGGTCATCCGCCTTTTATGGTGCTCTGTGCTTGAGGATGTGATGGTGATGTAGTTGAACATTGTCTCCTATCTTCATAGAACTCAGTCTTTATTCACTGACTTCTCTTTTGGCTTGATCAGGCCTGGATTTGTAGCAAGTATACAATTTGGGGCTTTCATCTGTGCCCTCTCCTTGTGAGTGAAACACTTTTTCACATTGTTTCCATTCAGCTTTGAGTATGAGATGATCCTGGACTGGATGTAGCTGCAGCTTGTGGCAGGCAGCCTCCTGGTTGCCCATGGCTAGTTGGGGAGATAACCAGCTTCCCTGAGCCAGTGGGTGCCATTGCAGGCCAGCCTGTCTCCATGTAGATAATGGCTTGCATATGTGTTCCTCTGTTCTGTGGCCAGTTTTCTGCTGCTGGGTCATTTTCTATGCCTGTGGTGAGATGTGCAGACTGTAATTGTGAATGGGATAACTGGATATTTTTCTGTTGTTTAAGCTGAAAAGAAGGCCAATCAAAGCTAAAATTGAATTCCATCCTTTCTCCCATTTCCAAAGAGAAATCCACAGAAATATAGGGTGTGACCCTGAGAAGGCAGGGGGACAATGATTCAACAGTTATTTTTAATAAGAGAGGTAGGATTAAAATTTTTGTACAGTGCTGGGAACAGAGATCATAGAGGCATTGGGTGTTGTTGCTAGAGTTTCTCCAGAGTTCATTTATGCCATCCCTTCACTATAAGATGGGGAAACTGAGGCCTGGAGAGGAGAATGCAACTGTTACAATACTCTTCAGGCTGCTTTCCCACCTTTTGGAGTCCTGCCTCCCCTAGGTTATGTTTCTTAAATTAATGCTCACTCAGCCTTCAGTAAATCTTATGAGCTCTGTGTCCCTACCTCAGTGGAGTTCTCATATAGCAATTATCTAAAATAGAGAAATCAATTTCATTCATTCATTTGAATGAAATTTACTTTGAACCAAGAACTTACTTTGAGCCAAGCCTGGGGTAGACCAATAGTGATTTATGTATCTGTCTGTATCTGTCCTCTTTTCTATTCAGGGATAAATGTCATGAGGGCCAAAGGGCTGAATTCATATTTGATTCATATTTATGCTCCCAACTATGATTAGAATGCACACAGTAGGAGCTTAATAAGTGATTGTTGAATAATAAATATTTACTAACTGTTTGATAAATGATGAACTCTTGGCTAGGGAGTCTCAGGTGATGGTGAGAAATTAAATTAAATAGCTTGGATTGTGATTTTTTTCTCTAAGACACTCTTCTGTCTCCAGCAAGCTATTCTCAATTTTTTAGTATAAAATTGCTGTTTGGAGGGAAAGGATAAGCCAGAGATTTATCCTGATTAATTTAAATAATCTCTCTGAGTGGGAGCCAAAGATTTAATTGGTTGAAGGAGTCAGAGAGTTGAAGAGACTTTGTTTTCTTCTAATGAAGAATAATTAAGAAGTATTTTTAGTCTTTGCATTTAAGTTCACTGGGGAAAATGTGTGCAATCTCATCATCAAATCCCCTGCAGAAAAGCACAGTGCAGTGAGGAGCATGGACCAGCCTTCCACTAACATTCTGTGTGTCCCTTGGACAATTTTTCTCCCTCTCTGAGCCTTAGTTTCTTCATCTGAGGATGAGGAAGTAGACAAAAGTATCCCCAGGGACTCTTCCAGCTTTAACATTCTAGAAGTCTATGAGTGAGTTTCGAATGGTCTTGTCCTTCTCTAGACAAAAATAACCCACTTTAGTGCCACAGGGCTAGGAAAGCAAACCCATTGACTAAAGCAAGTTCTTCTCATTTTTTCCTATAAAATGCACAAAGGAGTCTAGTGTTTGCCTTGTGGTTGGGATGGAAATTTCAAGGCATAGTAGTTTGGGAGTCCTCCTAGCATCTGAGAATGTGCCCTTTTCAGGTTTTATAGAAGTCCCTTGGTATATCCAAGAGAAGTATTCTATGGTGGGGTTGTGGGGTGGCTTAGGGTGTCCTGCCTTGGTGGAATATAATACAGATAAACCCATGGATCCTAGCACTCTAACATTCTTCAAATTTGACCCATTGATTTTCAACTTTACCCCACCCCTCTGGCTACACTTAGCAACTTGCCATTTTCCCAGCACATGAGTACATGGTTCTACTTCTTTGCACATGGCATTTCTTCTGTCAGAAACTCTATCCTCTTCCAATACTAATGCTTTTCATGGCAAACTTGAGGAAATCCTTTAAGAAGCGGCCTGGGAAACCTACTGAGATATCCTGGCTTGGGTTACATATCCCTTCTCTGTGCTCCCTTAACCCTCCATGTTAACTTCAAAATGCCATATGCAGCACAGTGAGCCATAATTGTTTGTTTACAATTATTTAGTAAATCTTTACAGAGTGCCTATGAAGTACTGGGCACTGTTGTAGGTAGAGGGAGATGTCACTGTGCAATAAAGAATCCTGCCCTCATGGGGATCATATTCTCACATCTCTCCTTTGTAATCCTAGCACCCAGGCCTGGTACCTGGCCCATTTGAGGTGCTTAGTACGTTTTGAAGGCCACTTCCAAGTGTTTATTTACAGAGAACTCCCCACTTCACACAGATGGTAGAATAAAGTAAGGCAGAGAAATCCAAACTCTGGACTTTGAAGATTTTAAAATTAAAGTTCCATTCTAAGTGAAAGGAAATTAAAATGAGCCAAGAAAATAATAGGCATAGATTTCCACAAACTATTGACCCTAGAATTTTGGGGGACATTGGACACCAGATCAGTGGGATAAGCTGAGAATAAGGAGCTGGTACCAGTAGCTGGAAGCCAGGGCATGGATCTTCTTAGCTTGGAAAATTGTTCTCTTTGGGCTCTGCAGGGTCAGGTATAGTAACCTTCTCCCAGTGGTGGGCTTTGGGGAATAAAAAAGGTGGTCCACAAGACAAGGGCAGAGGCAGGGCAAGACCACTGAGGGAATGAGGATCCCCCTAGGCAGTCAGGGTCCCATGAACGTCACTCCCCACTGAATCACTGCTTACATGGTCTTCTGGGCTTCCCTGCTGCTGCTATAAATTCATCAGAGGTCTGTGATGTTGAGGCCAGGGCCAGAAGTTCTATTCTGAATGTTGAAAACACACACCCCAACTTTCCTCAGAAAGAAACCAGACAAGGGTTTGAAAAAAGACTAGACACTCCACCATCTTTATATGATCACACGCTTTAAAGAGGCAGATGTATGTCATGTAAGAGCAGTCTTGCATAGCAGAAAGAGCTCTAGCTTTGGATTTGAGGGTTTGAGTATTAGCTAAATTGCTGAAAACGATCAAAGAGCATAGCATAATAATTAAGAACAAGGCTCTGGTCTCACATTGCCTGGATTTTTTTTTCCACTTATTTACTGTGTGATGTTGGCCTACCAAATCTCAGTTCTGGGAACATCATAAGATTGTTTTGAGGGTTAATTAAACCATTAAGATTGAATCAAGCACTGAGCACACTGCCAAGAATGTAATAAGCACTCAATCAATTCTAGCGTTATTGCCACTATTAACAATGAGGTCTTAGACAAGTTATGTAATGCCTCTAGGCCTCAGTTTCTCCATCTGTAAAATTGGGGGGGTAATCTCCAATCATCAAACCATGGTGAGGCCTGGAGCAGAGGGTTCTTGGCACATTGAAGATGCACTATAGTTGGTAATTCTCCCTTTTTGTTGTGTGGGTTGTTAATTCCTTCTGACTTTGGAACATCCCTGAGGAAATATTGTAGGGAGAACACTATTTTATACTGCAATTTCTTGGTATGAGACTTTGCTACTCCCTTCTCCCATCCTAACTCCACCATGAATAATTCCGGCTTAGAAAAAAAGTCATCCAGCTTGTAGCCTGGTATATGGAGATGATTGTGGTTGCATCTGGCTTTGTGTTTGAGTCTGCCAGACTTCAGAAAGCCCAGATTTTAGGACTCATTCCCCTCATTCCACATGCTCAGAACAGCCTCCCTCAGAATGCAATGAGCAGGGCTACTTGGGGAATAGGCAACTTCTGGGGGCTAAGTAGAAATCCTGGGAGTCACATTCACTGTCTTGGATGCCTTCCTTGTTCCCCAGGCAAGGGGAAAATCTTAATAGCATCAGCTTCAGATTTCAGTTCACCATGGCGACAAAGGAAATCAAACCCGAGTCCTGGCCTCTGGCCCCTCCAGCCCCTTGACTAGAGACCTTATAAGCTCCTGACTGTGGTGGTGGTTTTCCACCATGAAGGGAATGTGACTCACTGCCAGTTCATCTTCCTTGACCTCAATTTTCAATTCCCTTCCTCTGTGTGAGTAATAGGATCAGTTGTTTGTACTTGCAAAGGAAGGATTTCATGCATATTGAGATGGTAGCTCAAAGTTCATGGCTGAAGACGATTGACCCAGCGGGAGTTGGAAGGAGTTGGGGGAGTAGGCAGCCCCCATCACACAGCCAGAACTGCTCTATTTAACCAGACTTTGCACACTGGGATCAAGCAGCAAATCCAGCAGGAGAGGGGGAGCCCAGAGAGCCAGAGAGTGCATGACAGAGAGTCAGGCAAGCTATGCAATTATGGGATGTTCAGCACTAACACAATCCAAACCTTAATGAGTCGCAGTCCCTAGACTCCGAAAATTGAGAAGAGTGCTTATTATGTGGCGGCACTGTGACCATGGCTGGTATTAGATGGGCTGGTGGTGGGGCCATGTGGGTGGGGTTCACCAGGTCCAGTCTCCTCCCTGAGAAAGCTGGTGCCCTGATTGATGGGCCCCTCTGTAAGGCCTGGCCCCCACTTCTGCTGTGGACTTGTGGTCTCCACTTGTCAGAGGCCATACCCTGTAATCAAACCAAAG